CGTCCCCTGCAGGCGTCCCCTGTGGCCGTCCTGACGGTGATCTGGAAGCTGCTCCATTGTTCTGTTTGCCTTCGTATAGCAATAAAATGCTGAAACACAATTGTCTCCAAATTTGTTCTTTACTTGCTCCCACAGCTGTTGACCAGCACCATCGGACAGGATGACACACCACACCAATGAGACTACACTGTCCTTTCTGTGACTCGATTACTTACTTTTTAAATGATTTCTGATCCTACAGGTGGTGGGACCCTAACCCATGACCACACTGTTGGCTGTGTCGGAGTCGCCTGACGTTACTACAACCTTAGATACTGACATTTATAGACATTTATGACATTTAGCTTGTTAGATTGACTACTTTTCATATCATTGAACAAGCCTGTCAGCCCACGTGTCATTGAAATGTAAAGCTGCAGCAGAACACATCAGGACCCTAACCCGAACCCGTTGGCGGATCATCAATCTGAATCTTGGTGGGTTCAGGACAACAGTTTGGTTGTTTGGTGGTAAATATGTCATCTTTGCCGATCTGTTGCCGACACAACGTTTCCATGTCGACTCTGGGTGTCAGTCACAAACACTGGTTGACTTAACGAGCTGTGAAGCAGCTTCTTGTGACTGTTATCTTATTTGTTAGATGTTATGATTATATTTATAGTTGTTATTGTGGTGTTGGTGACTTCGTGGTACAGGCCTCAGAACACCACCAGCTACTTCAGTTCTTCTTCGACTTGCTGAACATCTCTAAAGGCTTCAGCGCCTCAGAGGCTGTCCATCAGTGAGACGAGCTTTCTGTAGCAGCCTCTGGGCTCACATAGACCTGAACCTACAGCCTNTGTGTGTGTGTGTGTGTGTGTGTGTCGGAAGCGTGGCGTTCACAGTCTCAGCAGGAGATCTGTTGATCTGAGTTTCCCTCCACCATCTGTGACCAAACACACAAACATGGCGGTCACATGACACGGCTCCCTGCAGCTGATTGGACGCCAAACATGAACCTACAGCTTCATGGTAAACAGTGTGTGTGTCGTGTGTGTGTGGGTCTGCAGGTATGTAAATGTGTGTGCTGGGAGTTGTTTGGGCCAGAAGCTCCTCCAGGACGTCCAGAACCTGAAGCTGAGCCAGACTGCTGACGTGGATCGGCTCCCGTTGGTTCTGGAGATCTGAGCTTCTGTGTTCTGCTGTCGTGATGCTCGTTTCCTGTTTCCACTGTTTCATATGAACATGCGCCGTTAGTCTGCCTCCAGCTGAACAGCACAGGTTCTGACCCACATCCAGCCGCAGCGTCCAGGTGCAGAATCTACCTGTGATGTGTTCAATTACCCTCCGGAGCTCCGACACACTGACAGCACTCTGGTGTTACTTATGCTGTGCTGAGATGTTCAGATGCTTCTTGCACACCGTGTATATAAAACATCACATGTCTGTGTCTTTCTATATTAGTTTTTAAAAACATTTCTGCAGACTGAATGTTTTTGAGGCGCTTTTAAAGTTATTTTTTTCATGCTGTGTTTTATTGTTTACTGTTTTTTACACCCTGTATTTTACGTTTTCATGCTGTATCATTTAACATTGTTAAAAAAATAATCCAACTCTATTCTTTACACAACACACTTTTTGTACATATTTTCACTATATTTCTACATGACTGTTGTTTTCTACGTCCCATGTTTGTTTTCCACGGTTGCACACTATATATATATGTGTGTGTGTGTGTGTGTGTGTGTGTGTGTGTATACATATATATATGTACATATACATATATGTATATATATGTATATGATTACATATATGTATATATATGTATATGTACATATATACATATATGTACATATACATATATGTACATATACATATATATACATATACATATATGTATATATATGTATATGTATAATGTATATATGTATATATACATATATGTATA